GCTATACGGACACAACGTAAGCACGGTCAATCGGAGCGGGAGTCTCGATGCACACAGCCCGCGTCGTGTCCCGGCAGCCGAGCGCAGCGAGGCAGTACGTACTCCGCAGACGCAGTGGCAGAGCGCGTCCTCTCCGCGGCGCCTCCGACGTGCACGCCCATCGTCCACGCCAGCCTGTCAAACCAGCTCCTCCGTGCCTCCAAAACGTACGACGTGTCCTTGGGCGGGCACACACGGTTCGCGGTTTGCGTTCCTGAAGGTGTTCCGGGGTTGTGGGGCTCGACGTCGGACGCACGACATGAAATTCGAGGTGGAAGACGTCTGTGAAGTAGTACGAGCGAGTTCATCAACGGTCAGCCCCCCGCTCCTACTGAGTTCAATCGCCGCCAGACACACTCACCCACGTACGAGCGTCCACGTATGCACAGCCCATTTCTCCTGAGCTGTCAAGTTCCAACTACCCTGCAAGGTACCCATGCGGGAACGCCCGAGCGGCACCGCGGTCTGCCAGAGAGGATTTGTGGGCGTGTTCGTGGAGCGACGACCGCCCAATCGAATCCGAATACAGATCGGCCTTCGCGCACTGCTCGCAGCGCGCGCAGTACTAGTTAACTGTTACGCGGCTGCAATCTGGGCGGGCAGATCGGGCAGGCCCGGGGCTCGTCAGTCTCGGCCAGGAAGGCAGGCAAGAACCCAATCGGACTGCGATCTCACCTTGTCAGTGATTGCCTCCACTGGCTATGGTGGGCCAGTCCGGCGAAGCGTGATCTTTCTGGAGTTGCGCAGCGTATTGGGGGGTTTGAGAGGGACCCGGATCTATCCTGGTACCAGTGTCGCCAGGGCCCGGTCGGCGTGGTACGTAGAACAGACGGAAGGATGCAGGATGCACGACGGGGAACATTGGGGGTGGGCGAATCGACCCATCGGCAGAAGACGATGTATGCACATATGCATTGGGCGTGAACGGACGGACGTTGACCTCGGGGGATGCACTGGATGGCGGTTGTGGATGGACGGAAGAATGCAGTGAACGAATGCACGAAATGACGGAACGCAAGACCGTCCTATGTCAGAGGGGAAAAACTACTACGCGCTACGCCCAGCACGCATACATGCAGACCCAGAGAATCAGATAAGTACGTACACGGATGAGATGAGACGGGATCCGGAACCTTTAACAATAATCAGCGACAAAGCAAGACAGGGGTGTGTGTGCGATGAGGGGCAAGAACAAGGCAGGATGATGGGGGGCTCGGTGTGTACGGTGCATGTGAGAGAGATAACCGGGATACGATGTGCGTATGTATAGGGTACAGCGTCTGACTGACAATGCGGGCGTGATAGTCGTGTCGCGCATTATGGGATTGGGATGTGTCTGACTCGGGGGTCGGCGGGATGCTGGATGCTAGGCGCGTCGCGTCTAAGACGCATGCATATAGGACCGGTCGGATGGCGTGCAGAGGCCAGGGGGGTGCCTGGGCGAGCTTAAAGCAGTCATCTAGGCGAAGCTACCCCTGTGTTCCTCCAAGGTTTGAGCGTGAGCACCACGGGTCTGGTTCCGAAGTCTGGCGACAGGTACAGGAACCTTAAGGCGGCGGCTTGTGGGTGTGTGAGTGGCGAGGGCGGAAAGGATTTGGCGCTCGATAGTCGCACAAGCCTGACGGAAAGCCGGCCGGGACACGGGTAGAACACCTTCTGAGGATTCTCCGTCGTTCAATGACCCCGAGGGCCACCCGACCATAGGTACCGTGAGTTGCAACCACGCTGCGACTAGAGCAGTTTGGATGCACGGAGGTGTTCGCGAAGGACCATATCTTTCACTGTGAGAGGTCAAGGTGTTAGCTGAGAGTATATCTAGACACCCAGGATGTACGCACCCGCAGCGATAATACCTCCAGTGGTGGTGGTGTCCTGTCGACGCTGAGAAAGCAGCTCAAAGGCAATTCATGGATGGCACTCACTGTAACAGATGTACAGAAGCCGTAGAACTTGCGTGGTATAGGAGAGTGTTCACGATGAATAGCACTGAATTTGCTCCGGAAGTCTGGGGGAGAGGAAAACATTAAACAATGACGTGCATACAAATACAGAGGGCTTACATTTCTGCGCGACCTCGGGATCGTTCGCTCGCTCTCCGAAGCTACGCACATACTTGGCCAGCCGGACGCCGGATTTCAGCTTGGACTCAAGAATGTCGCACTTGTTGAGGAAGAGGACCAGGTCGACCTTGGCGAGCAGCTTGTTGGAGCATACTTCCTTCCACAGGAGTACACTGTCCTCCTGTAGTTGACTATGAGGATACACGCATGGTATAGATCGTTACTGTGCGTACGAACCAGTCGGTTGACGCTCCTGTCCTCGGCGAGGACTTGATCGAAGGCGGATATTGGCGCAAGGAATATTATCGCTAGCAATGACATGTTCGACCAATGGACACATGACGGGCTGGCGCCGAGGACTCACCATTCACTGGAAAAAGCGAGGACGCGAGAGTCAGATAGGGTGTTCCAAACCGTGCAGGTCAGTACGACGCACCATCATCGAAGAACGGCACCCAGGTCGCTGACGCAGGGACGTTAGCATCCGCCGTCATCGATATGACAATACAGGATACTCACGCCGCTGATGTAACCCGCATCAGCAAAACAGCGCGGAGGAAGAGAGCGAGTGGTCCTGACCTGTGAACGTGACCCTCCGACGTCAATGATACGCCATTCTGTGCCCCGCTCATCGCCAGCTTCCATGTGAAAGCTGTATTCGGATACACCAACGGTCTTGAGACGGGCTTTCAGGACGTCGTCTGACATGTTACGTTAGTGGATCAACCGAAGTCCGCGGGACCAGGGTCGTCAATTGACTCACCGTCAGAAGGGAAGTACTGGAGGGAGGTCACCCGGTCAATGTCATTCAGATAGCTACGTCTATTCAGCCCAAGAAGCCCGCACAGGTATGGAGGACACTCACAACCCGGGACTCTCTTCCAGCCGGATCTTCCGCCGCCGCAGGATCTGCCGCACTACGCCGTCGTTCCAGAGGGCATTGATGTCGGGTCGACAGTGGTGTAGCACCGCTTGGGACTCGTCCAGCGTTTCCTGACCCGTCGTGCCGGCGGATTGAGGGCGACCAGAACTGCGCAGCTTCCATTGTGTGCCAGGTCGTACGAAGACCTCCTTGTCTCGGAAGGCATGTTGGGGAGGTTGCGGAGCGCCCCAGTGATGCGGCACGTTGCCGTTCACGCTGTTACTTCCGCCGTAGCCGAGAGTCGTCGCCTCACTCTCATTCGGTGGTACCAGCTTGGCTATGAGCAGAGACTCCACATGCCGTAAAGGGTACAGCCGTCGGCGGAGTTCTTCCAGATGCGGCGGAAGAGCGACGTGGCTCTCAGACTCGGAGTCAGAGTCCGGATCCGAAGTGTAGGGTGTAGAAGGGTAGACGTCGCGTCTCCGGATGTCGTTGAGAGTATCCAGGATGGTGTGGATTGAGCGGACGATGTTGAGTTGGATAACCGCACGCCAAAGGATGCGTTCCTCACGGAAGGCATTGGGGGTATACAATCTCTGAAATTCTGGAGAGACGGGTTAGTATTGGAGAGCAGTAGGTAGTCGCGGGATATGCGCGGATGGCTGAGCGGCCCACGGAAGCAAGGGTATAGAGCGGAACAGTTGAGCAGCATCTCGTGTGTAGATGTGCGGGTCGATCATCCGGTTCGCCGATGGATGGAAAGAAGACTTCGACGGAACGAGTTGGAGGGAGGGGGGAATATTCAAGGATGGAGGATTTACACCCGTGGGGGCACGCACCAGTCTACCGCGCTAAATTCATGAGGAGATGACTCACGGCGGAGGGTGGTGGATTTGCCTGAAGAAAGAGGGATTGATATGGGGTCTAGAGACGCGTCTAAACACACGGAACGGACCTGATTCGCTCTGGCCGAGGAGGAGCAGACGGACAAGCTTATGTTTCTTGCGCTGCTGTTTCTCGAGACGGATGGCCTCGTCTATGGCGTGGCTGACGCGTTTGGCAGCTTCCTCCTCGGCGATGCGTGAGGCCTTCTCCTCCTCGGTCTCGTCTATGGGCGGTCTGAGGGCGGCAGAGAGCGGGTCGCGGTCTGGGGGGTCGCGGGAGACGGGCATGGAGGATGCGGGGACACACGAGCGCGAGCGGGGGAGGAGATGAGGGCGAAGGGCGAGGAGTAGATGCGGAGAGCGAAAAGATGACAGACATATGAACGCTCGCTGCAAGAAACCCGGGCTAAGGAGGCGCCTGTGTCGCGACCGTAGGGGAGCGCCCAACGCGTCCGTCTTCCGATCCGGGCGCTCTGGCTGGAATTTCACCTTCGCTCAAACCCTCTCCGCAATCAACGCACCGCCTCGCTGCCAGACACCCACCAACACATCCATCTCTCTCCCAGCCCAACCCTCTCTCGCCGTCCGTGTCGCCATGCGAGCTCGCTACGCCCGCCGCAGCCTGCCCATCGCATCCTCGTACCCTTGGGTACGCACCACCACTAGCTCTATCCCTGCCGCTCGCAAGCCCCTCCGCTGATCGCTTCTGATCGCTGCTGCGTCTGCGCGTGCATGTGAGAACCACGGACGGGCATGCACCTGCAGGTCGCCCAGCGTCCGGCATTCTCCTCAGTGCCCCAAGTAAGTACCGGCCCAGAGGTTACTTATTGTCGTAAGTAGCCTCACGAGGCGTGCCTGTTCGTCAGGCACCGAAGCCTCCTGAAAACCTTATTTGGTCGCTCACTCTCCTTGGTGGCGGCTCCTCCGCCGCGAGGCCAGGCCCGTTCTATCAGGAGCACCCACTTGCACACTTGTGACACAGCCTCTCTCCCCCTGGGAACGTCCAGGAACCACTGGCTCTACTGGCAGCGGTGATGCAGATACAGCTGTCTGGTTGCCTCACACACGCACTCATCCTGATGGCAAGTAACTAGCGGATAGGTTACATTGGGAGCTTCCACTTTCTGAACACTTATATACGTCGTGCCAAGCCATGGCTACCTGGCGCAATGGTAGCGCGTTTGGCTTCGATCGCCAGCGGCTATCTCCGTGGTCACGTGACCGGCCGACCAAAAGGCTGCAGGTTCGAGTCCTGCGGTGGTCATTCTTTTTCACAGTGCTCTCGACTACTCTGTCTGCGTTGCAACCAGCACACTGCCCGTATGTACTGTACATACTACATAGTACTTACCCCTCATGGCGATGGCATTGGTCAGGTGCTTATGATAACCTCATTCAGACCTCATCATCGAGGTACAGCCTCCGGAAATGGTACTAGCCAACGACGATCACCGGCGGGCATTTACCGAGACGATAATCTCTCTGTGTTCAGCAAGACATGGTAACACATCCGGACCTTCGCACTGCGGAAGAGATCTACACATGGTGCCTGTGAACATGTTCCCAGCGGAGTGCGGGGGGCGTAGAACACCGAGCAACAATGAAGGCACCACGGCCATCCTTGAAGATCAAGGCGACCATATCACCGTCGCCCGCACACCGAACAAATGTCGATGGCAGGAGACGGTTGCGAAAGTCGACAGGGACTGATGTCATGATACTCAATTCTGAGTGTATGTTACGTGCCGCCGGCGTGCGTGTCTGCAAGTACGCATGTGAGCAGTGTGAGAGCTTGAATGCCTGCACGCAACACACATAGGTACAGGCACGCACCCGCAGCTGGCATGAGGTTGTACTCACTCTCGCACCATACGAGCGCACCGCCACACTCACGGTCGTATATCCCACCGTTGTCGGGGATCGGGTCGAAAGTGAAACGAATGCGCCGGCGGGAGGAGGGCAAGGCACCACCAGTCTGCCAGTTTTTCGTGTGCTGGTTCCCCAGGTTCCCATCGTCTGACGGGCTTGGGCTCCTCCCCACCACGCATACGTGGCAGCGCCGAGAGACGCAGGTTCGTCAGAATACCGCCGGCGAGGGAGATGCAGCCAGCAGACATAGATTGTGGCTGTGACCTGCACATATGGAAGCAGAAGAGAGCCTCGTGCTCGCTCCTCCGTTTCGCGTTTCAGCGTATACCCGAGTGTTTATTCGGTCTACCGTCTTACAGTGGTCGCGGGAGTGAGCTCGGTTGTGGGTTGCCTATTGATGCAGGTCTCGAAGATTGCACAACGGACAGTAGAATTCGGAGAATTGTAGAGCACTCGTGTCGTGCCACGTCCTATGCAAGAAATGAATCAATGCAGATGTGGGACTACCGGCGGCGCACAAGACCTGCTGCATGTGAGATGCGTCCAAGCCCTCACAACAATCCAACACGCACCACGAGGACCCGCCGGCGCACCCCACAAGCCCACCAACACGCTCACAACCTGACTCGCAAATCGCATCCCGATTCGGTCGCTGCAGAAGCATCCAGTTACGTTATCAGGGCACTCGAACACCTGAGATCGGACGCCGCGGAGTTTCGTCATCCAGCGGTAGGGTCAGCGGACATGAAGGCAATGGCGTCTTCTTTGGAGAGAGCTCGGAGACCACAAGGCTAACCGCGCTCAATAGTTACGGCGTACCTGTCCTGCAGAGCGATGTTCCGAAGCGTGTAAGCGCGTCTCGCGCCTGCCAGGCCTTTGTGTTGCAACGGCATATATCGAGCCGGAATGGTACGCCCTGTTCTGATTTTCACTTCCTGCATGGACACGACCCCTGATTCTAGAGCACGTAAAACGCCAGAGATATCGCCATTACGACCGTCGAGGGTCCAAACGAGGAAATACAGTCCACTTGCTGTCGGCACCGCCGCCGCACCGGTATCAGAACAGCCAGGGCCCCACTGTCAGTGTGCGCAAGGGCAGTAAGTCATGTGTTCAAGAGATGTCGTAAGGATGAATGCGACCGCGCACCTCTCCCTCGTTCTCCTTCCGGCTTGATCTGCAGACAGCTCTGATGGATGAGGTTGAGGGCCTTCACAGCGTCGCGCCCATCGATGACGCATGAGATGTTGATCTCGTTCGCGCCCTGGCTTATCATCTCGATGTTGACGTTACCCTGGCCGAGCGTGGTGAACATGCGGCCAGAGATACCAATCATGTTGCGCATCGACTTCCCGACCAGGGAGAGGATGGCCATGTCGCGGCTCACGGTAACCTGTGAGCGGACGTGAGCTTACCCAGTCTCTATGGCAAGGCCCATGATCCGACGAAGACATACCGTGCCGCTTTTCTTGAGCTCTCGCACCACACGCTCAAGCACCTTTTTGTCGACGGTCTCCTCGATCGCCATACTGACGTATACCTCACTCGTACTGATGAGGTCCACCACGACTCCGTAGCGGTCGAGCGTGCCGAAGATAGAAGCGAGGAAACCATGCGAGACGTTCTTCCTGTTCGAGTTGACGTTCAGGACGATGATGTGCTCCTTGATCGTCACCGCCGTCGGCTGCCGTATGTGACTCTGGTGCTTGTCGAACGAGGGCGAGGCAAGGGGTAGGAAGTTCTTCGCACCAGACGCCGTGGGGATGACAGATGGGTATGATTCCACTCCATTCGTCAGCGCCCCGGCGTCGAAATCAGGGTCCGGATGGATGACGGTTCCGCCGCCCTTGGGATTCTCGACGTTCTTGATGCGGATAGGGATCTTCCGGCGGATGACCTGCAAATGTGCCTGTGAGCTCTAGAGCATTCATCTGAGCGTAAGTATTCCGGCAGGTTTACCTGGTCCATGGTGAATGGGTGGACCACCTCACTTCCGTAGTACGTCAACTCGGCCGCCTCTTCCGGAGAGATAATCGGAATCAGCCGCGCGGTAGGTACCTTGCGAGGGTCTGCAGTGAAGATACCGTCGACCTCCTTCCAGATCTGTAGCTCCGAGGCACCCAGCCCTGCCGCAAGGAGTGCTGCGAGTAGATCGGTATATCCGCGGCCAACCTGCCTCAGCAGGGAGCCAGGCACAGGGCCGAAGAACCCTGTGAACAGCCATCAGAACACAACGCATTGCAAGACTGAGAGCCTCACCTGTCACCACGGGCACTCGATTGCCACACTGCTTGATTCTCTCTGCTACCAGGTCGGCGACTCGGTCATAGAAATCTTGCCCGAGAGTATCCGACTCTGAGAAATTCTCTCCTTCGGCAAGTGGTATCACGTTCTCTAAGCTCACGAACTCCGCGTCTATGTTCTAGACAAACCTCATGAACACAAGGGATCATCAGGTAGAATCAGCGGAAAACGTACTCTATCTCGGAGGACGGCCGTGATTAGTTTGCATCCAAGGCGCTCACCAAAGCCGATGATGCTGTCTCTTGACCTTGGAGAAATCTCATCTATGACCTTATGTTCCGCATTCCGAGGTAAGCCATAGCCACGCATTGTACCGTGAACAACCATACCTGCGTGGCAAACAGGAACGACCGAAGTGAATCGCAGTCTCGATCTATCTCGGCCTCCAGATCTTTGAGAATGTCAGGATTGCGCACGGAGGACCGTGCAGCATATAGATGTTCAGACCGAATGACGTCAACGGTAGTGTTGAATGAGGGTGTTGCTTCGGTGATCGAGGTCATTCCCAAGGATAGAGCAATGGACTCTGACTTGGGAGAAGATTTCCCTGGGCTTGCGAACGGTGACTGATATTGCGTGAGTCTTGAGAACACGTCCGTGGGGGACATGGTTCCTGGAGTCTCCGAGGGACCATTTGGACGCTTGAGTGCCTCGCCAGCCGCCCTGAGGAGCAGGTTTGTCGTCCCAAGAGCTTTGGTAGACCCGGAGCGGGCAGAACAGACGATCGCGACTTTGTGCTGATCGAGATATTCACTGCCATCGGTGAGCGCCAGCAGTTAAGCCGTTTGCGATATAGAGGGAGATCGAGACACGCACGGTATGATGTCCTCTGCAATTTTTGATGCGAACTTCCCTACACTCGTTCCTCCGTACTTCTGGACTAGCCACTTGGCTGCGGGATCGATAGTGTTTTGGTGCATGTTGGGAGGTGTGCGAGGGGCGCTGGAGGAAGACATTGACGAGGACCGTGATGAGGTCGAGGATGGGGTAGATGCGGCAGACATGTCGGGGGCTGACGGTGGAGGAGCGATATTGACGTTTATATGCTTCAGGCGTAATGACTCGATCGCCTCTTACACATGATCTCAACCAATCGAACGAGAAGATCGTGCGATTGAATGCGCACCAGTTCACGAACTCTTCCGAAGGCAGAAGCCTCAAGGTCTCCAACCGGGTTGTAATGTTATTGACGGAATCGACGAAGCCACGAACTGACGCGCCACGGAACGATTGTTTCCGAGAGAGCATTTGGCCGTGTTACGCCGACATGGAAGCGCGTTCGGAATAGAATCACACACGCAACATGCTGTCGTCTGTAGTGGAGATGACGAGCACACCAGAGACCTAGTGAAGAGTGGATGTATGAAGTGGTCTAACGAGAAGGGTGTGTGCCCCCAAGCGCCCTGATTTTGACTGGATTAGCTGGATTAGACGCGTTTCTTACCGTGACTTACCCTGGGTAACAAATGGTTGCCCGTCAGTAAGAAAGCTGTGTTACGCCGTAAACGAGACTGGACTACGGTCGGACGCACACGTCGGTATCCGTCACCGTGTCCTCGGACCTCCAACTCGCGTACCCCGCACTCGCGGCGTCCTCTCTAGCATGGCTGACGCGTCCTTCAAGGACGTTCCGGAGTTATTCGAAGTGCGTGTACGTGCCAGCACATATCCCGGACGCTCACAAACCCCGCCCAGGTCGACCTCGGAGAGTCTCTGAACGCACGGACAGAGAGCCTATGTCAGTCGCTATGACCTTCGGTTTCTCCGCATACCTTCTGATGATTGCCTCATGCAGCTACCTTCCGAGAGCTCGGTCCACCTGATCTTGTACATGTCCTGAAGAGCACGGGGCGGAGCGGGCAGCGAGATGTGAGTCCCTTTCCTCATGACCAGGTACGCCACCGCCTACCATGTTGTAACAGCTCGGCTCGTACCACTACGTCTCCGGCGTCGATGCATCCTCTTCTGCTTCCCTCGCGGCCTATATCAACTCCCTCACATACAACATTGAAGACGATTCTGGCTGGTTCACGAAGGGGACATCATGGAAAGTGAAGAGCGGGTGCTACTGGTGAGTTACATACTGGTCCT